GCATTATTGTAAAATATTACCACAGGTGTAACCTAAACAAATGTTAAACAACTTATCTAACTTATCCAACTAATACTCATAATTTCTGAAGTTAAGATGAAGGGACAATATATAAATCAAGTGAAATAAAAGTATTTGTATGCATGTGGTATGTGGGGAAGAAGGGAGGGAGTAAGGGAGGGAAAAGGGGAGGGGGGGGAGGAGGGAAATAGGGGGAAGGGGGAAAAGGGGGAAAGCAAAACAAACATGCTTCTATCTTTGATCATACTATTCTAAGATTTTTCCAGTAATTTTGCATCAGAGTTCTAGTGCTATATTTATGTCACTAGTAGAACTGTCTCATAATATATATTTGATCTTTAATAGGAAGTCTTCAAAGAAAATAAGGAAGAAGTTGGTTAGCCAGGGATGACAAAAAAAACCCCTAAAAATTTACTTTCTTTCTTTTTATAAATTTTGTTGGGGAACAGCCATAGTCTTTGGTTACACATTGCTTTCATGCTACAATGGCATAGTTGACTCTTTTAAGGAGGGCACAGCTCACAGTGGCCCATGCGGGGATTGAACCGGCAACCCTGGTGTTATCAGCACCACACTCTAACCAACTGAGCTAACCGGTCACCCCTACCTTCTTTGAAAATTAAAGAAATCCTAGAGAAGTTGATGAAGTGAAGAAAAAGGGGGAAAAATGACCACAGATAAACCCAGGTCTCAAATAGGACTCAGCTCAGGAGGTGAGCACAGGAGCTGAACAGACAGGATGTCTGATACAGAATGTGGCGGTGCCAATAAACAGTTAATTTCCTAAGCAACACATTCTCTGATGTGTCCTTAATTAAAATGTCTGCAAGCAGTAGACACGCTAATTATCCATTTAAACACTCACTCTTATATACACATCGTGAGGGATTTGCATTTTCTTTTTTAAGAATATCACTTTCTCCTTCATAATTGTTACAGCTTCCAAATGTACCTCCCCCTCAAAACCAAGCCAAATTTCTTTCATGAAAATGTACTGCAGGCTACTGGGACCCTTTTCCCTTCTATTAAGGGGTGATAAATCTGACAGTTAAGGAGAAAAGGCATTAGAAAGAGCCTAATTTAAAATTTTTGATATATGAAATCAAAGTTGAAAATAGGCTTTGTTTATATGCTATCAGGGCAATGGATCACACTTCAGAAAAATCATCCCTAACCTTTAAAAAGGAGTTGTTGATCCATGCTGAGATTTAAATAGTCCCCACAGTTTACAGTCTTGTATTTCTGGGTTCCATGTTCTGAACTATGAGGTCATTTTTGAGCCTTTAGTGTTTCAGGCTACCACAAAACCCCAGATAATGTTCAAGTATTTCCAAGGTCATGGCTTATATCAAAAGTTGCACGTGAATCAAATATTCTCCACATCCCCAATCTCCCAAATCAATCTTGACCATTTATCATTATCAACTCGATATGTTTAATCTTCTCCAAACCCAAGGGAGAAATAGTAGAACAGGAATGACTTTTGACTTAAGCTCTGCTTCTCCCAAATGAGCTGACTTGAGAGGAAATAGGGAGGAAGGGAATGAGAAAAAAAGGAAAGAAAGAAGAGAGCTGACTCTACAAATGGTTTTCAGGGATGCAAAAAAGAGGAAAAGTTAACACCTCCTTGCTTTTTCTTTCATATCATAAAGGTAATTCCCCTTTTACATCATTAATGTGACAGTGGAACAGATATGCTCAGACATGGCAGATTCTAGTTCTGATATCAAAGTGGCCCAGGAGTTGAAGGTATGAGTGGAGGTGTGATGAATTAGTATCAACTGGTGGAAAGTTTACATACAATGAAAATAAACTTTTTTTCACTGACCTTCAATTAAGACTTTTCCTTCTGTTTTTTACAAAGGCTCAAAAGTAAAAGCCAATTTCCCTTGCCTGACAGTATATATCAGTAAAAATATTACCAAGAGTAATGTCTGCAAATTTACTATCTATATTTTCTTCTAGGAGTTTTATGGTTTGGGATCTTACATTTAAGTCTTTCATCCATTTTGAATTTATTCTGGTGTAAGGAGATATATCCTATCCCCTTGGGCAAGGGAAACAAAAGAAAAAATAAACATATGGGATTACATCAAACTGAAAAGTTTTTCACAGCAAAGGAAACCATCAACAAAACAAAAGGGCAACCTACTGAATGGGAGAAGACATCTGCCAATAATACATCTGACAAGGGATTCATATCCAAAATTTATAAAATGCTCATGCAACTCAACACCAAAAAAAGCAAACAACCCAATTAAAAAATGGGCAGAGGACATGAAGAGAGATTTCTCCAAAGAGGACTACTGATGGCCAACAGACATATGAAAAGATGCTCAACATCAATACTCATTAGAGAAATGCAAATTAAAACCACACTGAGATACCATCTCATCTGGTCAGAATGGCTATCATCAATAAATCAACAAACAACAAGTGCTGGCGAGGTTGCGGAGAAAAGGGAACCCTGGTGCACTGTTTATGGGATTGCAGATTGGTGCAGCCACTATGGAAATCAGTATGGAGGTTCCTCAAAAAAGTGGAAATGGAACTACCTTATGGCCCAGCAATTCCACTCTTAGGTATCTATCCAGAGAAATCCAAAACACTAATTTGAAAAAATATATGCACCCCTATGTTTATTGCAGCGCTATTTACAATAGCTAAGACTTGGAAACAACCGAAATGCCCATAGGTAGGCGACTGGATAAAGAAATTGTGGTACTTTCATACACTGGAGTATTACTCAGCTATAAAGAAGAATGAAATCTTACCATTTGCAACAACATGGATGGACCTAGAGAACATTATGCTCAGTGAAATAAGTCAGTCAGAGAAAGACAAATACCATATGGTCTCACTTATTTGTGGAATCTAAAGAACTGAATAAATGAGCAAACTAAACAGAAATAGTCTCAGAGATATAGAGAAAAAACTGATGGCTGCTAGATGGGAGGGGGTGGGGATGAGGGAGAAAGTGAGGGGATTAGAAAGTACAGATTGGAAGCCACAATATAGCCACAGGGATATGAAAGACAGTTTGGGGAATATAATCAATAATGTAAAGATTTTGTACGGTGCCAGATGGGTACTGGACTTATCAGGGGGATCAATTCATTGATTGTGTAGATGCCTGACCACTGTGCTGTACACATGAAGCTGAAGCTGAAGTTGAATGATATTGAATGTCAACTATAATTTAATATATATAGAGATAGATAGATAGATATAGACAGAGACACAGAGAGAGAGAGAGAGAGAGAGAGAGAGAGAGAGAGACAGACAGACAGACAGACAGACAGACAGACAGACATGGGATGTGGAGTACAGCACAGAGAATAAAGTCAATGGAATTGTAACAGCTATCTACAATGTCAGAGGGGTAGTAGATTGGAGGAGGGGGGATCACTTTGTGAGGGATGTAAATGTCTAACTATTACATTGTTTTATACACCTAAAACTAATAATAAGAATAAGAATAAAAGTAAAAGGCAATTTAAATGCACATTTGTAATCTGTAACAATTGTACCAAGCCCTGTGAAGATCAAACAAGAGTAGACAGAGAGGACCTAGGAAATGGTCCATTTGACAATTTCAGTGCTTGCTACAGGAGTCACTCTGTTAACCAAGAAAGATGTCTGCTTGGGGACTGGCTTTCTGTAGAACATCGAGAGAAACACTGAAATTTGCTGCTTTCAGGACCTTCTGTAACTCTCTAACCTGAATACTGAACAGACTGTTACTTTATGAAAATTATAACAGGCTTGGAACTGGAAAGCTGATTATTATTATTATTTTAGAAGTTAGGAGTGAGGCAATGTATCCCTGAATAAATGCCTATCAATATCTACAGAGAAATCTGTGCCTTTCAATATCTGGTGTTTGGACATTGCGTTTAGGCTAAAACTTTAAATTTACCTAAGGAAAAGTCCCTTGTAAACTGTAAGGAAAACACACAATTTTCTAGAAATGAAGCTTGGGCCATGCATATGCGGTGACCTTAGAGACACAGTCTAAGTCATGGTAATGTTGTTTGCGAGGACAAACTAGTTCTGTATAATGAGGTTATTGACCTGCACTGTTTTAGAGCAGGTTTAAACATGAGGGTGAGGCTCACTAAATCTCAGCCTGCAACATCAGCTAGAGAAACCAGGACTGATCAATAAACAGCCGCCACTATAGGCTCGTGGGAACCTTCCTCATAATGGAAGCCATTATAATTTTGGTCAGGTACAGAAAATAAGGTAACCTATACCTAATGTCTATTTATCACTGGACTCTCATTTGCAAATGGAAGCCATTGATTAGCTATTTTTGCAAACTGAGCTGGCTTTCCAGTTTTCTCTTCATGCAATAGCCTGTGAATACACGTGTCCGAGACTTCAAAATGCACAGGAGGAAGGGGGAAAAGTAGAAAGCTTTCTCCCACACCGGCTTTTTTTTTTTTAACCAAAGAGAGAAGCAATTACATGACATTTCACTAAAAATTCTTGACCCAGTAAAATACTGAAGCCCAAATGCCGATTCCTCTTTCATAAGAAAGAGCAACAGAGAAAAGAAAGGTCAGGGACCATATTGAGATTCTTTACAGCTGTTGGAGACAGACAGTATGATGCAGTAGCTTGATTTGAATTAAGCCAAACAATATGAAAAGCATCAAGGCTGGCAAGCAAAGCGATAAAGCCTCACAGAATTTAATCTACCTTGAAGGTGGGACTACTTTTTGTATTGATAGCAGCGCACCAGGACAGAAATGAGTCCTTTAATGCAATGACTTGTTAATAGCCTTAAGATCACAATATATAAATAGGATATGTTGATCAAAAAGACAGCTCTGCCTCTGCTATTGCAGTGTGACCAATATTTCTTTACAAGTTATTTCATTGATTATAAATAGACCACGTCAATGGCAAATGTACAACAGGGGAAGCATAACCCATTATGAGGTAATGGATATTGCTAGAGGTTGCTTCATTACCTTCACTGGCTGAGTGGCTGGTTTTTCCTTGTACAAACGCTGCCCTTTAGACAAAATCCCTTCCACATCCGGCTGTTTAGCTTGAACTGCTACTTCAGTTTCCTGGGGAAAAAGAACACATACAGTGCAGATTAACTTCACAGTTAGCAACAAAATTACTAAATTTAACTATATCCTTGGCGACTCCACATGTATTGCAGATCAATTTCTGCAGGGCACATAGGGGAACAAAAACGTAGCTTTTAGTGCAGAGAAAAGAAATAAAGGTCTTTGTGAAACACACTCAAGTTTTAAAAATGTATTCAAAATCTTCTTAACTTATATTGTAGTACTACTATATAGAAAAACAGACATTAACTTTCTATTTGTCAGAAAAGTAAAATGCCATAATGAAAAGTATAATGCATGAATAGAATTAATATGGATAAATACTATTGTTAGCATCAATAATCTCAGTAATCCTAATGTTCATTTTACTTTACAAAGTTCTTATTTAACAGGGTTTTCTTTGGGGCTTTGGGTCCAAAATTTAGTTTTGAAATAGAAACCAAATAAGTCTTTCAACACCCTTGTCAAAATTAAGTTTCTTTCCAAAGAGCAAACACTTAAAGCACAGTATCAAGGCTTATTAATTATTAAACAGTAGAATGAAATAAACCTGAGAAATGATTAAATCATTTAGGAAACTTCAACGTTTGTTTTCCCTTAGTTGGGAAGGACTGAAGTATGACATAAAAACCAACAAAAAAACCCCAACAATCTTGTTTAGATATGTGAATATAAAGTGCTTTGTTACTGGCTGCTGTCTAGCTCTCTTGAAGAGAGAACAAAAGAAATGTGCATAAATTGAAGCTGAAGGAAGTGAAGTTAAATATTACAGAAGACTTTTTGGATGGAACACTTGTTAAACACTAGGATAGAGTATCGATTAATCAATGTCAGGCATCAGTCAGGGCCTGGGCAATCTTCCCCAGATAGCAACTCCTGATTAACCCATCTTTTTCTTCCTCTCTCTCCTACCCTGTCGCCTCCCAGCACTGCTGTGTGTACGTGTCTTTATGTCACTGTTGCCTTTATATACTGTGTTTGTATCTGTTCTCTCAGCCCATCGGAGCTGGGAGTCCTCTGAACCCAAATTACTATTATCATATATGACACAGCAGGGTGTCTTGCAACTTATGGGAGCTCAGCACAAGCTCATGAGAGCAATTATTTCTTCAGTTCTTATTATCATAAATACCAGTGGGAGGTAGGCACTTTGGTTAAAAGTGTCCATAATATTAAATTAAGTCCATAGGACTAACCCTGTGCCTTACTGGGTATGTGTGCAAAACACACACACACACACACACACACACACACACACACTCACTCACCAACTTCAGGGACAATAATTATGAAAGAAACAAACCTCAAATTATAAGTATTAATTCATTCGCTATGATAAAAAATTCTAAAAGTGATTTTAAAAATCTTGCAAAATTTTAACAAGGTCAAATTCAGTGTACTTTGCGAGGGTTGGGTATTTCTTTTTTCCTCTAAAACTGTTTGTAAGTGTACCCAGTGTAAATTGTATATCTTTGGAAAATGACCACAAATAGTCAATAATTTTACCAACGTTTTAGGTATGCAGCCAAATGATTAACACTAACACCTTTCTCTCCCTGTCCCTAGTCTTCAAGTGAAGATAAATGTTAATAGTTCCAAAGATAATAGTTGCACAAAGAATTGGTGCAACTATTCAGAAAGCACCAGCAAATAGACAGGGTTAGAGGAGACTGAATTTGATGTTACAAGGAATTCCCTTACAAAATGAACATACAAATCTTAATTCATGAAATTTTCACTGGCAAACCAACAGAAACAGCAACAAGGCTGACATAAAAATGGCAGCCAGGATCTTAGAACTCTGCATTCTAAGCAGGTGCTTGCTAGATGGGCTGAGGAAAAGGGGGCATGCCACGTGATATGTCCATGTTTTGCACCTGCAGAAAGTAAAATATTCCTTCAGGCTACCAAATTAGCACTAGATTTAGTCCTCTGATGAATGAGCATTAGAAAGTCACAATGTTTCCCTTTATATAAATGTTTCCTATTAGCACGTCCTTCCATCACCATGATTGTCATCTCTTTGTCCTCCAATGAAATAATGAAGAGTTAAGTACCTGGATGAGATTTACACTTGGTCCTACAGAAATAGAGTGATGGGTGAAAGAAACCATGTTCACCTCTAAATTCTTTCTGGTTACTTCTCCTTGGCACCTTTCTTTGAGAACTAGATCTCTAATTACATGCACTTTTGAAAAATCAATTTAGAAAGACCATTTGAAGATAAATTTCTATAATTTACCTCACATTCATTTGCAGTGCGATTTCATTAGTTAAAAGATAGGTCAGTATTCAGGGTCAAATATTATTGCTTGAAGGGTTAACTGTAGTATATCCAATTAAATTCACTGAAATATCCTTTAGTATATTTTTCTTATTAGTATGAAAAAACACACTAAGAGGCTCAATCATCCTGAAAAATGGAATTATACATGAAATAAATCTTAAAATTTTGATATCCCTCTATGCAATTAAAACATAACATGGAAAAATTGCAAAGCAAAGCAAAACAGAAAAACAAAAACCCCCAGCCAAACCACATGACTGTATAAAGATGAGAAAATGCTGCTAAAACCCTTAGTTGTGCTGAAAATACCAACAGACTGCTATAATGATATTAACTGTTATAGTAATACAAATTAAAGTTGCAAAAATTTACTGTGTCAAACACTGTGTTTTTCGTACTTTTTTAATGTATTTTTTAAAATATAGTTTTAATTTTTCAATTACAGTTGACAATATTATAAGTTTCAGGTGTACAACATAGTGATTAGACATTTATATAACTTATGAAGTGATCAAACTGATAAATCTAGTACCCATCTGACACGATACATAAGTTATTACAATATTGTTGACTATATTCTTTATGCTATACTTTACATCCCCGTGACTACTTGTAAGTAGCAATTTGTACTTCTTAATCCCTTCCCCTTTTTTACCCATCCCCCCAATCCCCCTCCCATCTGGCAACTCTCAAAATGTTCTTTGTATCTATGTTTGTTTCTGTTTTGTTTGTTAATTTTTTTCTTCTTTATATTCCACATATAAGTAAAATCATATGGCATTTGTCTTTCTCTGACTTACTACACTCTAGGTCCATCCATGTTGTTGCAGATGGCAAGATTTCCTTCTTTTTCACGGCCAATATTCCATTGTAGATAGTATGTACCACCTCTTCTTTATCAATTCATCCATTGATGGACACCCAGGTTGACTACATATCTTCACCTTTGCAAATGCTGCAATGAACATATGGAATGCACATGTCCCTTCAAAGGTGTGTTTTGGGGTTGTTTAGATGAACCCTGAAGTGGGATTATTGGGTCCTTCTTTGTCTCTTGTTATTGCTTTGGTTTTAAAGTCTATTTTGTCTGGTATAAGTATCGCTACCCAAGATGTTTTTTATTTTCATTTTCATGAAGTATCTTTTTCCATCCCTTTACTTTCAGTCTGTGTATGTCTTTTAATATAAAATGAGCCTCTTGTAGCAAGCATATGTGAGAGTCTTGTTCTCTTATCCATTCAGCCACCCTAAGTCTTTTGATAGGAACATTTAATCCATTTATTTTAAAGTAACTGGTGACAGATACGTAGTTATTGCCATTTTATTATTCATATTTTTTTCTTTTTTCTCCTTTTTCCTTCTTCCTCTTCCTCTTCTTCTTCAGTTAGTCCCTTTAACATTTCTTTTGGTACTACTGGTTTAGTGGTAATGAACTCCTTTAGCGTTTTCTTGTCTGGGAAGCTCTATCTGTCCTTTGATTCTAAACGATAGCTTTGCTGGGTAGAGCAATCTTGGTTGTATGTCCTTGCTTTTCATCACTTGAAATATTTCCTGCCAATCCCTTCTGGCATGCAAAGTTTCTGTTGATAAATCAGGTGCTATTCTTATGGGAGCTCCCTTGTAGGTGACTAACTCTTTTCTCTTGCTGCTTTTAAGATTCTCTCTTTGTCTTTAACCTTTGGCATTTTAGTTATGATGTGTCTTGGTGTGGGCCTCTGAGTTCATCTTGTTGGGGACCCTCTGCACTTCCTGGGCTTGTAGATGTATTTCCCTCACCAGGTTAGGGAAGTTTTCCATCATTATTTCTTCAAATAGGTTTTCAATTCCTTGCTTTCTCTCTCCTTCTTCTGGTACCCCTATGATGCAGATGTTGGTATGCTTGATATTGTTCCAGAGGTCCCTTAAACTGTCTTCAATATTTTGGATTGTTTTTGATTTTTGCTCTTCTGATTGGGTGTTTTCTGCTACCTTATCATCTAAGTCGCTGATTCGATCCTCTGCTTCATCCAAACTACTGTTGATTCCTTCTAATGTATTCTTTATTTTAGTTACTGTATTCTTCATTTTAGTTATTGTATTCTTCATCTCTGACTATTTTTTTATGCTTTTTGTCTTCATTTTTATGTTTCCTATCTCTATATTGAAGTTCTAAGATCACTGAGCATCCTTATCATCCATGTTTTGAAGTCGGCATCTGATAGATTGCTTGACTCCATTTTTAGCTCTTTTTCTGGAGCTTTGATCTGTTCTTTTATTTGAGACATGTTTCTTTGTCCCCACATTTTGGCTGCCTCCCAGTGTTTGTTTCTATGTATTAAATAGAGCTGCTATGTCTCCTGTTCTTAGTAGAGCGGCCTTATGTAGTAGGTGTCCTACGGGGTCCAGTGGTGCAGTTTTCCTGGTCATCTGAGCTGGGTGCTGCAGGTGTGTCCATTAGGTGGGTTGTGTGTGCCCTCCTGCTGTAGTTGAGCCTTGGTTTCTGTTTGTACATCAATGAGAGGGATTGACCCTCAGGCTGACTGGTTGTAAGGACTGACCATGGCTACAGTGGAGGAGCTGTTTGGCAGGGCCTGATCCTACAGAGCAGGATTCGCTTTAGCAGGGCTCTGATATCTGCCCAGTCTGCCCTTTGGGCGTGTGGTCCATGGAGGCATCTGGTTGGGTGTCTGGCTGGGCAGGCTTGCTGGCCCCATGGCCTCCTGAGAGG